AAAGAACCAATGAGAGAGCGGAAAAAGTACAAGTATGGGCGGGGCGTATGGTCTACCGGTTTGCGCTTCCTGTGTTGCAGAAATCCCAGCCAGAACAATTGAGCATCACTTGGCTTGTGGTTACCACTTTTTTCCCCCCGCAGGGCCAGGGATGCATCCCCTGGGAGAGGACTGCCGTCCCTGCCTCCAGCTCCCTGGCCGGGGTCCAGTCACCCTACACCGCCCGGACTGGGGCTAGACCACCCAGCTTCTGGGGCCAGGAGCCTAGATAAGCAGCCGAGTCCTTGAAGACTGAGGTCTATAAAAGAGAAAACCCGAGCTGATCTATGCCTAGCTTTTCTTTAAAAATTTCTGGCCGCGGAACCAGTTGCTCCTGCGCTTTATTCCACTCCCCCACCCTCGCCTGCCACCCCGGGTCAAAATTTCAGTTTTCTCTTGGAGAAACTTGAAGTTTTTAAGGTTATTTAAAACTCAGATTCTGAAGCCTTTCTGAGGACCGGGGTCTTAGGGACCCATCCTATTCCTCAAGTACTGATACAGCTTTTCTAATTTATCTATTTATATTTCCTTCAACAGCGTGTTTCAAGAACCTGCTTAGGAGTCAGTTCCAATGCGGATTGCGGTTCCTCCCTGTGACACTGGCAAAATACATAACTCCCTTGGGCCTCCGTTTCCCTGTCTATAATGTAGGGGTTATAATGCCCACCTTAGAATGACCTCATTATCCGATGCCACTCTTCCTTCAGAAGATCACACACAGGCAATATAAATTGTTGGTAGTGGGGGAAAAAGAAACTATAATAAATGAAAGTCTTGCACATGGCAAAAAGCGAATTGGGATTGGTGGTGGCTGTTTCTCTTCATCCTTGAAGAAAACCTTAGTCCGGGGGCCCAGATCATATGGGGCCAGTGTCTCCCTGAATTTGGCCACTAATAAGAAGAAAGTAGAACATTGAACAGTGTCAAATCCAGAGCCTGAGGCAGGGGTGAGGGAGGGTGGCCTCTTGCGGGCAGTGTGAGAAAATTTAAGAAATGGGAGTTTTATGATCAGCAGGACCTCAACTTCAAACCAGGCGATGCCAATTGCTCAGCCTATGCTCTCACTGGCTTTTGCTTCCCCTGTTGTTAAATGTCTATAATAAATCCTGCTTTCCCAGCTTCTACAGATTTTATTGTGAGGATTTTATTGTGAAATTTCCCTGTTTTATCACTCATGGGCTAATTAGTTTGTATTAGTGTTTATATGAGCCTCAGTCCCAGCACCCCCCATCCCCACTTTATCCTCAGTTTAGAAGAAAGCACACCATCAATTCTAAGACATTTCACTTTATTTAAAAGAAGCCAATATACAGGATATAAAGAGCATGATATTTACAACAGTACAGTAAACAGGTTGGTTCCTGGTAGGATCAGTAGTCTTTCAATGAGTATACCCCCTCCCCCCCCTTGATGCTACATCCTGCTGACAAACAGCAACACTGGGGTGGGATGGGACTACAGCATAAGGAGTCTCCCTGGGTGGGATTAAAAATCACATAGATGCTAAAATGCCCACAAAGGGGTCTTGGGGGTGGCGGGTTGTCTTTGCCTCATTTCTTTGAGGGCTTGGCAGCAGGAAGCGTGAGGGATTTGCCCAAGACTAACACACAGCACCCCCCTTCCCCAAGCCTGGACATCTTCCACCCATGGAAAACTCCCTTCCAGAGAGAACCCGCCTTTACCCATACCCACCCGGTCCTCTCCAGACTCCCAGTCTAGAAGAGTGCCCTTCTAGGACCACGGCTTGGAGTCTCTAGGTGGAGGACGCAGGTCTGAGGAAGCCCCCAGCACCCTAATCCCTCACCCGGGGCCCTGAAGGAGCACATAAAGATTGGCAGCCCAGGCAGTGGGCACAGCCAGGGCTGTGGCATTTCATGGCATTTCCACTCCTGCACCAGCTGCCTAAGAGCCGCAAGGAAGACGCGTGGCACCTGAACCAACAGCCCCGTTGCCACCTGCACTCTCCCAAACGCAGCTGGCTTGAAAACGGACCTTGGCATCGATCGAGAAGCTCATCAGAGCCCACCCTCAGAGCAGAGCTCGTCCCCTCTCCAGTGTCCCCTTGTTCTCCCCCCACCCCCCTCAATTCTGAATTCCCCACTGGCCACCCACTCCCACAAGTGCCCTCCCCACTAAGACTTCCAAGGACCCAGGAGCTGGGGGATCAGGGAACAGTGAAATGGGATGAGGTGGGTGTACACTCTGCTGAAGCCGCTCATGGGTGTAGATGAGTAGGCGACAGGGAGGACAGGGAGGACAGGGAGACAGGGCAAGGGGTACCGATTATATTAAATCCAGCAGCAACATGCATCGTGTCCACAGAAAAATGCGGGGCTACCACAACTGCCTACCCTAGTTAAAAAAACCCTTCCTTTCATAAAAATAGATAAGAGTATCTTGCTTTATAAATAGATTACATTTAGCTTAAGTTATCCCCCACCCCAAACCCTCTCCCTCGTCCCAAGCCAAAGTGGTTTGATTCTCCCTAAATCATCTGAGCTGCATCAACAGAGCTCAGTCCAAGATGGACTTGCCCTTCAGAGTCCTCAAGACATATTGCCACACGAAAACAAAATGTGTTCACGAGGAGTGTATGTGTGTGTGTGTGTACATGTGTGCATTTCACAACCAGGGAACCTAAATGAATTACTCTCCCTGCCCCTCCCCGATCCTCTCTTTTTATAAAACCCCTAAAAATAGGAGAGTGAGAGAGGGCAGCACAGGAGAGCCTATCTGAGAACAATCTAAAATACCAATGTCAATATGACACTGGGTTGAGAAATAGAAAACCAAAATTAAGTATTTACAGCTTTACAAAGGACGGACCAGTGTGTCCCATCGGGACCTGGTGCTGCCTCAGAGAGCATTGGGGTCTTTCTTGGCAAGCCATGGGCTCACGGCAAGGGGACAAGCAGGGCCCACTGGCGACTAACTCAAAAAAGAACATGGTAGTCGGGGAGAGGGCCAGGCCGAGAGCCAGGGCCCTGCCCAGGAAACAGGCCAGCCACACCTTTGCTGTTCCCCCTCCCCCCACCCACCTGCCCCAAATCCTTGCTCCCCAGGAGAAAGTAGCTCTTGAAAACCAGCAGGAAGAAACTTCTCAGCCAGTGTCTGTCTCTGGCTCCTGCCATTTCCATACTCCTTGCACAAATTCAGAGTCCCCTATCCCCAATGTCTACAAAGGGGAAAGCAAAAATAATACCACTGGGCACCAGTCACCACAGTGACCTTAGTTACCCTCAAAATACAGTTGCCTTACTGTCTTAATGCTAAAGATAGTCTGTCACCCTCCCGCCACCTCGAGGGACAGCCCAGGGCTGGCTTCCACGGTGCCTGCTGACCACAGCCTTCGAGGCCTCGCTCAGCCCTGGACAGCGGAGGCCACAGGGGCAGCCACTGCACCCCCCGCCCCTCGGAAACGGAAAATCTTTTTAGCAGCTGAGGTCCAAGCCCAACTGGCTCTGATAACCTTTGGTTAAAATAAAGCTAAACTAAAAGAGTAACAATAACGGCAATACTAATCAGGTATGTCTGAACCCTGTAACCTTTAGAACAAGGGCTGGTAAGGAGGAGGGGAAGGGGCTGTCTCCTCCAAAACCATTGGCCCTTCCCGTACGTACCAAGGGACTGCGTGTGCAGCGAATAAGAGATGCTGGGCACAAAAGCCTCTCGGCCACACTGTCGCAGGCAACAGTCCGAGGTTCCCCCAGCAACAACAAAAAGGAAAAATTGGGAAAAAAAGATAAAGGCCGCCAAGTTCTGATAAATAAAAATAACACACTGTCATTTAACACACTCTTTCTCTCTCTCTACATATATATATATATTATGTGAATATTATGTACAATGGTTTTAAGACTGCAAAACAGGTGCAGGAAACAGAAGAGAAAGAAGGCCCTTAAAGGTGGCTGGTACCCTGGGGAGGAAAGACTGGGCGCCGCAAGCTACTCAAAGCCAGAACCCCTCCTCTGCCTCTGGACAGAAGCACTGGGTGGGAAGTTCTGGTCCTGGGGCACAGTGTGCTCCTTTGACCTCCAGGGGGAGCTGCCGGGCCAACAAAAGCAAAACTTGGCCATCATACCCTTAGGAGTGGGTACAAAAGAAATTTAAAAAAAAAAGCAAAACCTGGTCCGCTGGTTCCAAGCTGAAATTTGGAGGGGGGGGCGGGGCTCAACAAAGCGCTCTTCAACACAGGTCCACTCAAGTCTCAGGGAGATACTGGCTCAATTAACTCCCCAACTGGTCAGTCAAGTGACGCATGGCAAGAAGTTCGCCTACGTCCAACAAGGATGACTTGTTGGCCAAGTTGGTCAGTCCAACTTGGGCGCTGACTCCCGCCACCTGAAATCCGCCAGCAGCCCTCATTGCCTCCCTGCTCTTTGCTTTCCTGTGCAGGCCAGCGGCCAAACAACGGGCAACTGGGACACGGTGGAGAACCAAGGTGGCGGCAGGTGGCCTGGCCCAGCCCCACTGTGGGAGGGTGATAGCAGGCCTGGCTCCCTTCAGACTTTCTCACAGAGAAATCATAGATCTCTAACCCCGTACAGTTGGCTGGAAGTAGAGGGGGAAATGTCAAGTCATCAGGGCAAGAAAAGACCCCCCAAACCCACTAGGTCCCAAGGAAGCAAACAGGTGGCCGAAGGCCTCGCAGGACCCAGGCCTCCTCACTGAGCTTGACCGAACCCCCTTGGAGGCTGCGAGAGACATCGCCCGAGCTTTGGCCTCCCTCCCAGCTCCATGGGAAAATCGTGAGACTGGGAGAGGACCTTCCACAATATATAAGGCAAGCTGCTTTTTTTTGTTTTGTTTTGTTTTGTTTTGTTTTGTTTTTTGCATAGTAGTTTAAACACAGTGAGGCTCCACCTCCCCCCGCAGTGCCTTGTCCCTCCGCTTTGCCACTCGATCCAAAAAAAAAATAAAAATTTTTCTTCCCTCCCTCCTTCCATCTTTTCCCCTTTTGATAAGTGGAAAAACCCTTGGGAAGTCCGCACCCAGGGGACTCTGGAAAACAGCTCTGTCCTGGGCGGAGGTGGACCACCCCAGGCCCAACTCGCTGAGCGCTGACCAGCAGAGGAGAGGAGGGCATAGGTCACAGCCAATCAGAGGAGCAGGTGGGAGGGTAGAAAACCACACTATACCACACCAGGGCCCCACCCTCACATTCGAGTTTTGTATAAAAACACCTGCTAGGAATAATTCTTTGGAGCTCAAAGTGGCTCAGCTTAAGGGAAAAGGCACGGTTAACACTGCATCATCTGGACAGAAGACTGCATTTGTAACATGGAGAATAGAAATTGAGAGCACCATTCCTTGGGTGGGTGGATGGACAGGGGCACTGGTTGATGGTGGGGGGAAGGGAGGAAGGAAGCAGCGGTCCCTTGGGGCCTCCAGAGAAGGGAGGGCAGAGGAAGTCTGTGTGGTGAGGGCTGGAGCCCCACTCCGAGGAGCCTTCCAGGACACCAGGCACGGGGAGGGGGCGCTCAGTCATCAGCTGACCATGGGCTCCACATCTGCCTCCCGCTCAAACTCGTCCTGGATCTCGTCTGTACTTCCTGAGTCGCTGCTGGCCACGGAGCTGGGGGACGGTGAATTCCTGGGAGGCGCGAGAGAATGGGGGACAGTCAGAGGGCAGCCTGCGGACCCCTGAGGGGACTTAAGGAGCAGGAAGGGCTGAGCAGCCAGCCACTCCTGTCAGATCTACCCTCAGAAGGGGGATCCGGCCCTGAGACCCTGTCCTTGCTCTACTTCCTTAGACTCCTCAGCTCACAAGTTGAACGTGGCTCTCAAGACCTCTTGGGACCTGCTGGACCAACCTCTAACTGCTCTGGGTGCTGAAAGCCCCTTGGAAGCAGAGACCATGGATCAAGCTTGGTCCTTACCATCGAATCAGCTAACACAGGTCTGGGCACATAGTAGGTGCTCACTAAACCCCAATTAACTCAGTGCTCAAAGGGAGGCCGTCCTGAATAGTTGTCAACAGTACTGAGTTTAAGCTTTGGCTGTCACTGAGGAGCTGCGGGGAGTCTCGGGCAAACTCTGTAACTTGCCTAAGCCTCCCTTCCTCCATCTGAACCACGGAGGTGGACGTGTGGACAGTGAGCCCAGGGGGACTCAGGGAGCTACAGGTAGGGCAGGCTGAGCCGAGCCCCAGTACGGCTTCCCACAGACCTGCCTCTCCCTCTTTTACAGCCTGAACCACGGCCTGCAGGAGTACAGTCCTAATAAGAGACAATTACAATTAACATTTACTTGTGCTTTGTGCCAAGCATGGTACGTGTATTAATGCCATTTTATTGTTCGCAGGGCTGTCTCTCCAAGAGGCTGCATGTTCCTTGAAGGCAGGGGCGCTGTCTTTGTTGTGGTGTCCCCCAGCGAATAAAAGGGGCCTGACCCGCCTGGCTCTGGGTTGGATTATGGAAAAGGATGTGGAATTGCTGCCTATGGACACATGGAAGCCCCGCTGGCCATGGCAGAGAGGAGTGCCCTGCCCTCTCCTCCACTGCCCAGTTCAGCAGAAAGTGGGGTGTAAGCCCCATGAGCGCAGGGGCTGCAACTGTTGTGTCCATCACTGAACCCCTATGGCCTTGCACAGAGCACGTCTCCAACAAGTAGCTGTTGAGTAAGTAGGAGCAGGGAGTTACGTGAAATTAAATAGGTAAGTCGTCTAGCACACAATAGGCAGGTAACCAATATTCATTGGATGGATGGATGGATGGACAGACGGACACGTGGGTGGTACAGATGAAACAGGCCGGACTTGTAAGTCGCAGCTCCACAAAGTGCTCCCAAGAACCCAACTGTCGAATCCCCAGGGAGGACAGGGCCAGGCACCTGTCTGCGGTGCCTTTGATGAGTCGGCGGCAGGTCTCCATCTGCACGTCCAGGCCCCGCTTCATGCTGCACATCTCCATGTACTCGTGCAGGTGTCGGTTCATGTCGCTCTTGGCTGTGGCCAGCTCCAGCTGAGAGGGACCAACATGGGACAAGGGTGAGGCCAAGCCATCCTCAGAGCGAAACCCTCAGCAATTCCCTGCTCACAACCTGAGTGGTGGCATCATCGAGGCCACCCCCAGACGCCACACCCTCAGGGCCCTGCCCCGGCCTCTGCTCTCTGCCTACCGGCCCATGGCCTCTACATCTGCTTCTGCTGAAAAGGGAACGGCTGCCTAGCAACCACAAGGGCAGCCTTCCCTGATGAGCCCCACCAGGTTCTGCCAACTCTACTCCACCCCGCATCTCTGCACTCTTTTCTATGGACTTGATCAGGAAAGTCCTGCCCTGGCTGGTGTGGCTCAGTGGATTGAGCGCCGGCCTGCAAACCAAAGGGTCTCTGATTCGATTCCCAGTCAGGGCACAAGCCTGGGTTGCAAGCCGGGTCCCCAGTAGGGGGTGCTCAAGAGGCAACCACTCACTGATGTTTCTCTCCTTTCTCCCTCCCTTTCCCTATCTCTAAAAATAAATAAATAAAATCTTTAGGGGAAAAACTTAAAAAAAAAAAAGTCCTCATATCCCTCACACTTCTGCCCCTTCTCCTCTACCAAATCCCCCAGGAAAGGAGCCCTTCTTTCTCCAGCTTGACACGAGCAATGGCTCTCACTGATAGACATGGCCAAGTGCACGGGATCTCAGGCACAGGGGGCTGGGCCTGAAGGTTGTTTGCTGGCCAGAGGCCTTGGGCAAGTCATTTGGGCTCTTTTAACCTAATGTCCTCCTCTGTCAAACGGGTTGGGTGCTCAGCACCCAATGCATAGGGCACCTGGGTACCTCCAGGCCCATACGAGGGTATGCAGAGATCAGGGAGGGTGCCCTTGTAAATGGCTTACTCAGTGCGCAGCATAACTTGATGTCACACAAACGTCAGTTCTCGTTATTTTGGGATCACCATCTCAGCTGAATTAACTTTAAGAAAACCTCTCTGGGGCAGACAAGGATCACTACCCCCATTTTCCTGATTAGGAAACTGACGCCCCAAGAGGGACACAGCTTTCCCAGTGCCAGGCAGGGAATTGGCAGGCCTCCTGACTCCCGAGCCTATGGCTGCCCCAGGCCACCAGCCCCTGCCCACATGGCCACCACTTAGCCACCAAGGGTCTCGACCACGTGACCTCAGTGAGTTGCACTGAGGGGCTGCCCAGCCCGAGCCCTCACCTCAATTTGGCCTATCGTTTCCTGGTACTCCTTGTCTCTCGTCTTGAAGAAAGATTCCGTCTCATGGATCAAGTTGCCCAAGTTTTCCTCTTGCTAGGGAAACAGAAGAGAGGGGATAATTTAACTGGGTGGTAGGGGCTGCCAGGAAAGAATAGGGAGGAGGGCTCACTGAAAGGAGGCGCCCCCCCACCCCCGGTCCCCATGCCCTAGCCCTCGGGAAGCCAGGCCCGCGGCTCACCTCGCCCTGCAGGTCGATGGTCGGGTTGCAGTTGGTGAAGTCCTCCCAGAGTAGCAGTGTGTCCTCATTCTCTTCCCACGTCAGGCTGTCGCAGTCATCATCGAAGTCAAAGGTCTCCCGCCTGTGGGGGTGACACAGCGGGGCATGGCTGAACAGGGACCAGGATGCGAGAGGGCCAGGGGCCCTGCCCCCAGTGGGTATGTTCCTACAAGGCAGCCCTCCAAAGAGACAGAGTGGTGGCAGACAGACAGGCCTTATCTGTGGAGCTGAACTCTTTAAAACGCAGAAAGTTTTTCCATACTCTTTATATAATTTAAAATGTATATTTTTAAGATGCCAGGCTTTATAATCAATGGAGACTAAAGGCATTTTCCTCCCAAGTCCAATGTTGTGATTTTTCATTGAGTAGCTCACTTCCTGAGCTCCTACTTTTTGTGAGATTTATATAATCTCTGCAACTTGGGATGGTTGATGTTATTATTCCCATTTGACAGATGAGGAAACTGAGGCTCAGGGTGATTTGGTGGACTCTTAGAACACTATTTGCTGGAAATCAGATCTGAATTCAAAGCCCAGGCGATTTCAGGGCTTCCCTAGTCACTAGAATAGGAAGTAGGGCAACAGACCGCATGGGTTTGCCAGGGACTGAGGGGTTTCTGGCGATGCACGGTTACCCCTACTGGGGGGACCTTAAACAATCACACAGCCCAACAAGCCCACTAATCAAACAAGAAGGCTGATATCAACAGGAGGGAAATCACTTGACCCAGTGAATCAGCCCAAATGGAAATGGGTCCCAAGTGTCCCCATTCCCATCCCGGGGCTCTCCCCACTGCTACTCTCCTTCAACTCCTTCCTGGATTCTCCCAACCTTCCAAGAAAGGTCCAGGCTGGGGGCCACTGGGCAGGACCCATGAAGAAAGAATTTCTAGTAAAAAGCTGCCTAGAGCACCCCCTGGAGCCAGGTTTGCCTCCAATACGCCAGAGCCTCCAGGTGGCTCTGTGAGTCCAGGGAGCAGAGCTGGGGCCGGGGTTGCAGGGAGGGAGCCACCGGGCTGGACTAGCTTCAGACAAGTCCCCGGGGTCCACTAGCACCGCATCGCATACTCAACTGCTGACTTCACTTCCTTCCCAGCGTCTGGGATCTGAAGGAAATCCCAGATGAGGAATAGGAAGCCAGAAAAGACAGGAAGATAGACCAGAGAAAGGGCTGCGAAGAGGCGACACCCCTCCCCACAGATCTGGAGGGCAGGGTGAAGGAGGAGGGCTGGCCACGGTACAGAGTAAGTAGCAAATTCCTCCCTTCTCCATGGCCTCAAGCCCAAGCAACTGATGTGGATCAAAACAAAACAACCGATTTTGATCAAAACAAAACAGCCCTGACAGGGGTGCATTATTCAAAGACTCCAGTGGAACTGCCCCCGGGCAGTCTCTGGCTTGGGTCTCAGCATGCTGAGATGCCAGCGGAGGGGGCCAGGGCTCCACCTAGGGTGGGGTCAGCAGGGCCTGGGGTAGCACTGCAAGGGTGGAGGGGTGACCAGAGGGTTTTTTTTTAAACTTTGGCAATTTCACCACTGGATCAATCTAATTGGCGTACACACGGCCCAGCCCATGGAGCCACCCGCTCGGCCACCGGCCCTCGGTCCTGCCCCTTTCAGCTCACCCATTCCTGGGCAGCCTAATGATTGCCTGGTGACTTTATGAAAATGAGGGCAATGATTTCTTCAGAGAAGCCCTTTCATTCGGCCAAGTGAGCCCAGCCTGGGTCTGTGGGGGCCTACGATCCTGCCTTAGGCTCAGGAATGCCCAGAGCAACACCCAGAAAACCTAGACCCAGCCACGGATTTTCCCCCAAAGCCCCTCTCATCAGCAAAAGATGAGAATATGAGATTTGGGGCGGGGGGGAGTCAAAGCAGAATGAAGAGCCTGGGAGTCTCCTTGTCACCTTCAAATAGCAGTCCCCAGGACACAGCCCCACCTCGGTTCTATTTTGGGGGAGCCGCACGTACAGGGGAGGGTGGGGCAAACACAGCCCTGCCGGTGCCCAGTCCTGTCTTCCTCACTGAGTGGCCTGGCTCAGCTGCAAAGGGACCAGCGCAGGGATGGTGCCGCAGAGAGGGCCGAGGGGCATCTCTTCCAAGCACAAAGACAGCTGGGTGGGGACAAGGCACTGGACTGATGGTGGGGGGCCAGACTCCATCCCAGCTCCTCCCAGCATGTCCCTCTCTGAGCCTCAGTTTCCCCGTCAGTATAGGAAGGGGCTTGGCGGAATGATCTTGGCGTCTGTGAGGCTAAACCAGCCCCAGAGCTTTACAGGAAGCCTTAGGGGAGTCCCATGCCCCTGACTTTTGAAACGACTGTGAGGGCAGAGGCACCACTGAGAGGAGCGTGCCCCCTTGGGAGGGGTTCTGGGGGTGACGGCCATCGGAACCAAGACCGCACACACAGCCCTGCGGTTGGAAACCCAGGACCTCAAGGGCGAGACATCAGGTCGGAAAGCTTGCTCGGTCTTAGCCTCTGATGCAGGGGGGTGGGGTGAGGTGGGTGAGCGGGGTGGGGCTCTGGGGAGAAGCTGAGTTCTCAGGGCTCAGGTGCCCAACTGCAAGGGATTCCAGAGAGAGCAGGCAGGAGCAGGTCCCAGGGGCCAGGGGAAAGGTGACCCCAGAGACCTAGCCTTAGGTCTGCCCTTTGACTCCAGGCCCTTACACAAGTCATCCAATGACCAAAGGGGCACCTGCCCCTCCCCTTCCCTACCTCAATTTAGGGTAAGACATGGATTAAAGTTAAAGCTGGACCAGGGTTGAGAACATGGGCCTGGATAGTCCAAGGCCACAAAGCATCCCCGCAGCTTCAGGTAAACCGGCTCTCTGTAGGGGTGGAGAGAGCAGCCCTGGCTGGTAGCATTGGCTAATTTTCCAACCTGGCGAACTTTAAGCTACTACTGTGCCATCGCTGAACCTGGAGTGGGCAGACATGCACAATCAGCTTCCACGCATTGGTACAAGCTGGCTCCAACCCACCACCGACCGCATCCAGCCCACATTCTGCCACTAACCCAGGCGGCATCTCAAAGTGAGAGAACACAGGCAGGCAGGCCTGGCTCTGAATCATGGCTCTGCTACGTATTAGCGGTCTTGGCCAAGTCGCTTCTCCTGAGTCTCAGTTTCCTCATCTACAAAAGGGGACTGATAACTCCGCCGCCTAGGTTGATTGTCTGGAGTTGGTAAAGTCACGTTTGCAAAGCATCCTGCAGACGGAGGGTGCTTGGCCGGCGTGATGGGCCCGGTGTGTGGCTCAGCTCAGCAATCCCACCCCAAGAAAATCTTACAGGAGTGGATCTAAGGCTAGGTCGAGGCTCTCACCCAAATACGACCACCACTACCATTTGGTCCTTTCTGAAAATGTGGAAGTCCCCAAATTATAAATGTCAAAAATGAATGCAGATCTGTTCATTCTGCTGGTCAAACAAAACACACCCACAGGCTACTTTCAGCCCCGGCCACCCGTCTGCTCCCCCGTGCACTGGGTATCTGGGGAGACGGAAGGGAGCTCCCAGGTGGGGCAGCAGGGATACTCACAGCTGGTTAAACATGCGTTTCATCTCATCTGTGATGTTCATAGAGCCGACCTCCTCATCTGGGAACCGGTTCACCTCCCCGTCCTGCTCAGAGATGTCCTCGTCCGAAGTCACCTTACGCTCCTTCTTTTTGGGGACCACCTGACCCGGAAAGGAAGAGATCAAGGTAACTGGGGGGCTCTGCCAGATGGAGGGTAGGGGTGGGCTGGGAAGGGAGTGAGCATCCCACAGGACAGATGGAGTGTGGCTGGGGCCAGCCACTGCCGGGAGAGATGCACAGGTCCTCTAAGAAGCAGGCGGCGTTAGCAGGAAGCGTGAGGCAGGGAGACATGCAGGATGGAGGACACAGCCTAGACCCCTCCCTGCCCTGGTGGTTGGGCCGGCTCAGCTCACCCCTTCACCAGAGAAGCAGCCACAAGATTTGGGGAGAAGAATGAGCTAGACTGGGGTACAGAGTCACCTGCGACGTCTCAGAGCCAGCCAGAGAGCCGAAGAAGCCCTCATGGAGGCACAGGCGGCTCCGTGCCTCCCGGAGCCCTCCTGCTCACATGCAAAGGCAGCAGGGGGCGGCCCCAGGTGCACCATGCTCCCTCCACTCCAAGCAGACAAGACACGAGCAATCCAAACAAAAGCCAAAATGGGCCCCCCTGCTTTCCAGCAGAGGGTCAGCGAGAAGGCCCAGAGGTAGACAGAGGGCCCAGGGAAGCCCAGAGCTCACCTGGCTCTATCCAAACTCACACACTTAAAGCCACAACACACCATATTGCCCTGGGCTCAAGCAAAAGCCAAACCACAACCCAGACTCAAGAAGCAGCCTTCAGAGAATGACGCGGGCCCTTTAGGCAGCTGGCCGGGTTAGCCCCCACACCCTCCCCGGAGGACAGCTGCCGGTGAACTCATCGCCTCTTCTCAGGACACAGGCGCTTGCTCGTTGGGAGGGGGAGGGGGAGGGGTCGGAGGCCAAGTGCCTCTTCGGTGGGAACAAAAAACAGTCAGAGGCCTATAGCTCATGCTTGGAAATCTGCAGCTCATTGGCCAGGGCTCAGGCGAGCTCACCCAGGGTACCTACAGCGAGGGCTCCCTGATGGCGCCCAGTTCTGGCACCCCAAGGAAGAGGCAGGAAGCCGGACAGGGAGCCCAGCGTGAGCAGGTGAACAAAGCCCTGCAGGTTCCGGGGACCTGAGTTCTAGTCCCAGCTCTGCCATTTTCTTCCTTGAGCCCATATCATGTCACCCCCCCGGTGAGTGGTCTCCTCAGCCACAGGATGAAGCCGTTGGCCTTGATGATGGAGTCGGACCAGCCTGTAAGTCTATGAGTCCCTGATTCTATGTTCTCCTGGGGAGGTCACGCTAACTCTGGGGAGGGACGTGAATGGGATGTGAGGGAAACAGGGGGTGGCCAGGCAGGGGTTGAGGCCGGGGCTCTCTGGAAGGGTTGCAGTGGCAGGTGGGAGTGGCAGCTGGTGAACAGGGTGGCCCTAGTCACCTGGAAGATCTTGGACACGTCTTCCGAGTTCCGCTGCTGTGCGACATCGCACAGCTTGGCCGTGATATCGATTCGGCGGCAGATGTCCATGTCCACTTTCATGGCCTTTTCTTGGATCTTTGTGTCCAGGTCTGTCATGGGCTGCAGGGAGGACAGCAGGGGTTACGTGAGCAAGGGACGGAGCAAGCATGGGGTGGGGGGCACTGCTCCCAGGCCCCTGCTGGACCGAGAGGGCTGGAAGACCCTAGGTGTCAGGTGGGAGGCCCCAGAGTCCGAGGGGGGGCCTTGAGGTTTTCCTGGGCGTGAAGGGCTGGGCCATCGTTGCTCAGGTGGGGGCCAGGGTGGAGGGACCGTGGGAGCTAAAGGCTCTGGCGCCGAGTGGACAATGTGAGACCGTGTTTCCCGGTCTCCCTAAGGGCTGGAAGGCATCCTTTCAGCAGACACAGTGTCAGTGTTTATTTTGTTAGAGCAAAGAAAATACAAAGGCAGCTCCCACCATTGAAAGACTTCCCTTCTTTCCCACCCAGCGCGCCCCACCTGTCCCCCACACGGAGGTGCCTGCCAAGGCAGCTCTCTCTCTTCAGGATTCCTCCCATGGCTGACAGCGGGGGTCTGCCCAGGACTGGGCACTCCCCATGGACCCTGGTGAGGACGAGCCACACGGCCTCCACCTGGAACCCCGGGAGGCTTCTCCTAGCCACACCCAGCTTCATGCCCCGCAGGACCAGAAGCCACACCAGGCTGGGTCACCCATGATCGGGCGCCTTCTCCTTTCTGGAGTCTCTCCCCACATACTGCCCGCTGCTTAAAGATGGCAGGAAGCCCGGGTCCCAGCAGGAAGGAGGCCTTGGCTGCCAACAGCTCCCCTCACCCACAATTACCCAGAAGGGCTCTGATCATCGTCCAAAGGATACATACACTGGCCTTCCCTGACTTGACAAAGCAACCCTGCTAAAGGCCACTGGCCCGGGGAGCCTCTCAGGCTGGCACAGGGCCTCCCTCAACCTGTGCCCAGACACCGAGGCCCACGGCCACCACCCGCCACATCACGGCGAGCTGGGGAGGAGCCGGAGCCAACACACACAGACCGTCAGAGGAGCCCGGGGCGGGCGGGATGGGTTAAGCGGCAGATTAATGCATCTCTACTCAGACCAAGGGAAGCGGAAGTGGGAGGGGGCGGGAGGAGGGTGCCCGGTCTCCGATGCATCGGTCATCCTCACGGTCAAACGCAGCCAGCCAGGACTCTAACTAGAAGCCGAGCTCTGGAGCCTCGGAGTGAATGAAGCGTTTCGCATGACGGGTGTGGGGGGAGGTCATGACACCCAGGGACAGTGGCATTCAGTGGCACTTACATCACTCATGAGCCCCTTAAACACCACCAGCTCGGCCTTCAGCCTCTCGATCGTCTCGTTCATCTCCTCCTGGATGGCTTCTGCCTCCTGCGCTGCCTGTGGGGACGGAGATGGTGAGGGCTTAGCGGGGGCTAAACCTGAGGGGCAGGAGGGAGGAACACCAGGCCAGGCGCCCGATGGCTGGGGAGGGGGTGTGCCAAGGACCTCGCCCAGCCTGGCTTCCCCCCTCTCAGCTTCAAACACTTCTCAAAGGATATTTGTGGCACGGAAAAACCCATGGCAGATAGTAAGAGAAAAATTAAGAGACCCAGGCTTCCCAACTCCTGTGCAACGAGTGGTCCTGATAAATTAAAATATCAGGTCAGTTCATGTGAAATGGCCAATATCTGACCATCTCTGGTTCTCCAAAATGGCAAGGCCAGGGGTGCCAACCTAACCGAACGTACACACGTAGAGTATGTGTGTGTTTGCACAGAAAAGACCAGAAGGTCGCACACCAATATGTCCACAGCAGAGGGGCAGAACTGGAGAGAAGTTTTATTTTATTCTCTATGCTTTTCTCAACTTTCCAAATATTTGAGCTTGAACATGTTATGTTTGTAAAGTAAAAAGTAGTTTTGTTACAAAAACGGAGGATGTTCATCCCCTCCCTTCTAAGTGCTGATATTAATCTCTCTCTTAACTTTCTCAGAAGATAAATGTTTTAAATGTCAGAAAGCGATTTTTCAAATATTTGAAAGAGATTTCCATGTCTTCTCTTGGGGTCACTATCGTTGCACCCATTTGACTGAGAGGAAGAGAGAGGCTGGGAAGTTGACGTTTGTTGCCTGGGGTACCCAGCAGGCGGATGAGTACAGGGCCCAGAACCCAGAGCTACTGAGCTAGGATAGCAAGGAAGGGCCTCTCAGCCACCACAGAGAGTGCGCTAGGGCTGGGGGACCGCCTGGTGACAGGCCCACCGCCCTCTCCAAGGCATTCGGCGCCCATTGCAGCAAGCTTGTGGGGGGTGGGAGCTTAGACACCATCCAGTCCAAGACTCAGGTGGGGAGAAGAGGCAAGAGAGGGGTGTCACTAGCCCAAGTCACCCCTCAAGCTGGGGCAGCACCAGGTCTTGGACCCAGGCTTCCCCACTCCTGTGCCTGGGCTTTTCTGCAATGCTGTGCCAGCCCCCTCCTAGTTCCAAAGCAGGGGACGCGGAAGAGGCCTCTTGGCTCCATCAAGGAGTCAGAGGCAGCAGGAGGTAACACAGAGTCGGGGCTGTACTGAGAACTGTGCCGGGCTTTGTCCCCGAAGACGGTGTCCCCTCGTCACACAGCTCTCCCCTAAGCCTCCTTCTGGATCAGAACCTCTGAGGGCTCTTACCTCCTTCAGCGTGTCCACCATGGTCTGCAGGTTCATGCTCTTGGCAAGCTCCTCCTCCCATCTGTAAGAGCCAAGAAGGACAGGTGGTCAGAGGGGGCCTCCCATGCCAGTCCGGCCCTCAGACACAGTGCCGGCGGCCACCCTGGCCCTGCCCCTGGGCCGGGCAAGGCAGGCACAGCAGTGAACCCATCCCTGCCTGCCCTCTAGGAGCTCCCAGTCTAGAGGTGGTGAAGGTCGGGCAGGGACAGGCAGGTTGACACATGGCCACAACACCAGGAGGGGCTGAGAAGTGTCATGCTCAAGGCATGAGCACGGCACCACGGGGAGATGAAGGTGGGGGAGACCACCACTACCCCCTCTAGCAAACTGTGAAGCGCTGTGCAAATGCTGCTGTTCCTGCTCTTGCTGCAAGACGCAATATCGAGCTGGCCCTCGGGAGCCAGGCTGCAGCCAGCACCACACTCAGGCTGTTCTTTGCATTCGCAAGAAATACACTTTTACTGTGCTAACTGTTGCACTCTTCCAGTCTATGGTCCTGCAGCCCACACTAACCAACGGGCAGCTCCTACATACCTATTAGCATCCCTGACTTACAGATGAGGACCCAGAGGCTCAGAGAGGTTAAATGTCCTGCCCAAAGACACACAGCTAGTTAATGAGTAGGGCTGGACTTCAAACCCAAGCCTGCCTTATTACATGAAAACAAAAATAAATAAATACCACCCTCACTTATTTAGCACTTATTTCATGCCAGACCCCATTCCAGGGGCTTTACATGTGTTATTACCCAGTGTGTGCATATACAGTTGAAGCTAGACAGGAAATGACAGGGAGGAGGAGGCACGCCAGAGCTAGCTGTACCCCGCAGTCACTGGAGGCTGGATGAGACGATCATCAATCCAATCACCGTAACAATACCAGCTCGCCTTAACTGAGGGCTTACTTTGCACCAAGAACCCATCTACATGACATAATTCAATCCTCACAACAACCCTCCAGCACAGGTGCCTCCGTCAGCCCCACGTTTCGGGTGAAGGAAGCAAAGCACAGAGCCAGGTGCCCAAGGTCAGGGTGAGGACAGGCGGAGGCAGGACTCCAATCCGGGCTGGAGGCTCCAGACTGAGTGCCTGTAGCCCTGCCAGGCTCCTCGTGGGCCCAAGACCCACAGGAGCCCTACCCTGGCTCTGCACTCTGACCCCCCGTCTTCCCCAGAGGATGCCCGGGGCAGGTTCCTTTCCTCTCTCCATCCTGGGACAGAGGAGCTTTCGGCTCTCCTCACCCTGCTGCCACCTCCCTACATGGCCTCAGAGCAGGCAGGTCCAGAGGCCTTTTAGGATGCTGTCGGGCCAGCTAAAAATAGGCCAGAGGGGAAAAATGGATAAAGAGTGGGTTACGTCACCAGCTTTTGGAAATGAGAAAACAGATACTGTTTGCACACACAGAGGAAAATTCCTCCTCTCTCCCACACGAGACGAGACAGGCCTGGCCAGGGCTCCCGGACGACACACACACACACACACACACACACACACACACACACACACACACACACACACTCTCTCGCCTCTCCCTTGTTCCCTTGGGTCTTTACCAGCCCCCAACATTGGCAGCAAGCCTAGATCTGGCGCGGGCCACGGGATCCAGAACCTAGAGGGCAGTGGGGCTGGGTGGGGGCTTCTGCCAGGGCTGAAGGACACAGAGGAAGCTAAGGAGGGTCCAACACAGGTGGCACATCTTACTGGACACTCTCATCGTACAAATGGGGAAACCGAGGCCCACAGTGTGCCAGGAATTTGCAAGGTCACCCAGTATGTCAAGGGCCAGGCCAAGAGTTCATTCCTGGGCCCGATGTGGGGGACAGAAATCCCAGGTAGGGGGGCGCTCACAGGCCGCCCTCACCCCTACCCAGCAGCATGGGGCATCCAGGGCTTCCCTCAAGAGAGGCTGAGGCCCAGAGCACAGGTCCACGCTGAATCATCTCTCCTGGCCATGCTGCTCTGAGTGGGGGCAGAGAACTTGATTCCAAGGCCACTGAGCGAGTGGCTGCAGGGGAGGGCTGGCCTCACTGCCGCTTTTACAGCAGGAGGCAGCGAGGGATGAGGATGTGGGCGCCCAGGGGCATCTCGGCCCCACCCCCGACACACCCCCTTCCTGGAGCTGAGACCAAGCCCCCTCTCTCTTTTCCTTTGGGCAACCTTCTCATGAGGATAGTGGGGCAGGGGTCAACAGACCCATTGTACAGATGGGGAAAACGAGGCCCAGAGAAGGAGAACGACTTGCCCCAAGTCAACTCAGAGCAAGAACCCAAGCCGCATCCTTGGATCTCCGGACACATCCACAGCAGTGGGAGCAGCTGTTGATTGGCGAGCACATGTGGGTGCCACGCACACCCTGGGCTCGGTGCCTTGTACACACATCCCATCAGTTTTCATGTGGACCGTTAACCCTCGTGGGTACAGAATTTTTCCCCAAACACCTTTTGCAGATGAAAGAGCTGAGGTTCAGAGAGGTGAGGTAACTTGTCTAAGGTCACACAGCAAGTAAGCGGGGCTGGGACTGCAGCCGAGCCGCTGCTCAAACTGCAACAAGCATGGGAATCACCCGGGGATCTTGCTCAGATACAGACCCGGATGCAGCAGGTCTGGGGTGGGGCGGGCACGCTGTACTTCTAAGATGGCTCTTTGAGTGGCCCCGCACCTCACTAGTGTTTCTAAGCTGCATCTCAGCAGATGAGTTTGCACGAACGATCTCATGGGCCTTTTGTTTCCAAAGCCAGGCTGGGCGGGCAGCCGGCACTGCTGGTCCCGGACGGCAGAGCGCAGACCCCAGCATGTAGATAGCAGCTGGCCTGGCAGGCCGAACCCGCTGCCCGTGCTGACATGCTTCCCAACGGCGGCAGAGAAGCCTGGCTCTGCCGGCCCCAGTGGTGACGGTGCAGAAAGCTTTGCCCTTCACTGCACTGGCTGGCGGGGGTGAGAGGACGGCGGCAGGCGGAGCGCTTCTTGAGGTGCCCGGACACCCCGCATTCAGTGCGCCTCAGCCCAGGAGGAGGGAGCGCTGGTCTGCCAAGCTGTGAGCTCTGACCTTTCAACACCTGGTTCCCAGGCACAGTCCCCTCCCTAGCCCTGGGCCAGCCCACAGGGGCACGGTTTCGGCGGCACAGCTGTGTCAGGCTAGGCACCGGCATAAGCAAAGAGGGGCAGCGGGAAGGCCAGGGCGGAGTCAGTGGCCCCTAAGAAGGGGACATACCTACAAAGGGGCTGGTGCATGTCACATCCTTTACCCTTCACTGTCCCAAGTCTCTTGCCCAACCCACCGCACAGCGAAGGAAGTCGCACAGAAAATCCCTTCCCTGTTTTACGGGGAAAACGAAGGCCCGCGGCACAGGCACAGCGCGAGCCAGGGCCAAGGTGGCCTGAATCAGTGAGAGTCGTCCCTGCCACCCTGCGCCAACAGCTCATAAAACTTCCAAATTCTCCTTGCTTAAAGGGTCAGATAAGAGAAAGGAGAGGGGGCACTTATTCGTCACCCTCTGGGTTGTGTTTACCATGTCAGGCATTCATATGCACAGAAAATACAACATGTCACTTAACCCGCGGCTAAGGGTTGTCCCCACTTGGCAGGTAGGAAACAGAGGCTTGGAGGACACTCAATTTCCCTGTCGCTCCCTTCTTCGCAGGCTTCTGAAATCCTACGCGTTCTCCCAGGCGAATCTCAAATGTCACCCCTCCCCGAGCCCCCGCAGCCACTTCCACTGTTTTCCCTCCTGGAGCTCCAGGCTCCTGCTTGAGGCAGCTAAGCCTCTGGACCACGTCCTCCCGGGCGGCTTGGCAGTGGTATCTCACCATGCATGGCTCCCACCCCAAGAGCCAGCCACCATGCCAGGGACAGCGATGGCCCGCCCTCCATCTTCCCCGCCTCCAAAGGCTGCTCAGCCCCCGGGCCCTCATCCGCTGGGCCCCAGATCCTCTCCCTCTCCGCTCCTCCCGCCTGCAGACTCCCTACAACGAGGCTTATACATATGCCAGCTCCTCAGGGCACTCTCAGTCCACGATGCTCAGAGCAGCCTTTGGAGCAGGCAGGAGAGAGGACAGCGAGGCGGAGGACAGCAAGGATCCCAACAGAGCATCTAACACGGTCTGAATGCTTTCGATGTGCCGGCCACCGTTCTGAGGGGCTTCACACGTATAACCTCATTTCAGTAGGCTGCACAGTCACCTTTAGGGACATCCATGGCACTGATGAAGAAGCTCAAGTCCAAAACCATTAGCCAGGATCACACAGCCAGGAAGGTGGGGCTGTTTCTACTCTCCAGGAGAAGACCGTCACTCGGAGAATCTCCCCAAGTGAAGGCTAGAGGGCACCAGGATTCACCTCGCTCAAACCTCTGGGTGCACAGATGAGGACACCGAGGCCCAGAGTTACACAGGAGCAGGTGGCAGAGTGCCCTCCGTTCCGCCGGCCTGAGCCAGAGCTCCCGAGGGTGGTGCAGGAGGGCAGCGAGGCCAAGCCCCAGCTCTGCTTCCTCCAGCACCTGCCCCCCGGCTTCTCAACGAGACCCACCATGGCCCACCATGCCCCAGGCACACTCAAGAAAAACCATTCTGCTCCCACACTCTTCGAATGTACAACTGGGGTCCCTGGGAAGAAGGGGCCAACAACGGCCTCCCCAGAAACCGCGGGGCGTGATCCACACAGGCGATCAGGGGCGGGTGCTGGACAAGGGCAGGGGCAGCACGGGAGGGCCTCTGGGCCAATGCGAGGACAAGCAGGGGCTCCAACCATGGGGACCACGAATCAGGGACTTGGATGTGTGTGCCAGTGCCACGGGGAAGCCCTCCAGCAGCCATCTCAGGAGGTCCCAGGCGCCCCGTGCCCAGGCCTTTGGGGCATCGAGGAAGCATGGGTGAGATGCCTACTCTAGGGTGGGACAGAGGCCCAGAGGAGGGGCACCATCAACAGAGTCATGGGGGGGTCTAAAGCTGGGGGCCGAGCCCTCCCACCAGCCCAGGGAACTGCTGGTGATTACTGTTTCTGTGCTCACTGCCATACCCTGTACCT